CAGCTATCTGATCTCTTAACAAGGAGAGGGTAAATGCACTTGTTCCAACTCACTCAAGTCCCTTCTCCAGCAGTTGCTTCAGAAAGGTTTTCCTTCCTTTGGCAGGGCCAGAATATTACCAATGCTCCAGATCTGCAACCCAATGCTGTCACCTGGGGCATCTTCCCAGGCAGAGAGATCATCCAGCCCACTGTAGTGGATCCTGTAAGCTTCCTCTACTGGAAGGTGAGTCCTCCGTCCTGCTGGATACATTACTGTGCCCTGCAAGTTCAGTGTGTCTGGTTTGGTTTCAGTCTGGGACACTTATCACAGTTGAGGGCTGTTGTAATATTGGCTTGCAGAGGTCCAGGTATTGCTCCTCTTGCTTCCTCAGCCCCAGCAAGAGCTCTTCATAGACACCAAGTGCCCACTAAGAGCCACCACTGCCACTGTACCAGGCCTCAGAGTGCTGGGCAGTGGCTCTTCCTCCCCTCTTACACACACAGGGGCAGCATTGAGCCATTCATTGTGCTGCAAACCTGTCTCCTTTCAGTCCTGGGCACTTCCCACGGACTGGAAAGCATGAGGATTCCTTGCTCAGCTCTTGCCATTTTTACTGAGCAGAAACAAGCACAGGCTTGTGTGGCACTGGGTGTCCTAAATGAAGCAACATGAAAACATTACCTAAGTGCCAACATTTTCTCTCCCTTGGCAGGATGAGGCCTTTGCACTGTGGATCGAGCAGTGGGCGAAGCTCTATGAGGAGGAGTCGCCCTCACGCATGATCATCCAGTACATCCATGACAACTACTACTTGGTCAACCTGGTGGACAACGACTTCCCACTCGAAAACTGCCTCTGGCAGGTTGTGGATGATACTTTTGAGCTGTTGAACTATCCAACTCAGCAGTGAAAATTCCTCTTCTAATCCCTCACTTCCTCCTTCTTTCGTCCACTGACTTCGGGAAAAGAAAGCAGCAGCAGCTCCTGTGCTGATGATGGACCACACACTCCTAAACACAGTGACCAGGCTGACACTCTGATCCACCCACAGTACATGCTCTGCTGTCCCCAACACAAAGGGGACAAACTCTCTTTGGGTAATAATAGCCAGAACTACCTGCACACCTCAGAGCTGAGGCTCCAGACTGAGCCTGAGGGTCAGCTCTGCAGGCAAAGAGCTGCTACTCATGGCTATGTTGGTTACAGTAACAAGGGAACTCCTGTGCATCAGTAAGATAAAACTCCATGGGATTCTGGTAACTTTGCCATGCCAGAAGTGCTGCCTTGGGAGGGGCAGAAACACTCCTGTCAGCTGTGCCTATGCAAGGGGATTATTTCAGTAGTTACCAACCCAGAAAAGAAGGTCAAATTGCTTTTGTATTGCACTCCTTAAACGTATGTCTTCATATCAGGCTGTTTTGCACTCACTCCAGAAGAAGGTTCAAGTTGTCTCCTTAACTTTTCTCCTTTTATTGTATTTCCTATTTTCTTTTTAATAGGACTCTGCGAATTTCAGTTCTGGCTGAGACTAGGTAGGAATCACACTATTTCTTATATTATATACAATAAAACACACGAACACAAACGTCTCTTGTACTAGGCCATACTCTTGTAAGGAGCAAAGACTCGTGGTGTTTACAAACTAACCAGCCTGGCACAAGGAAAACTTTCAGAAAACCAATTGTTTCTGGGGCGATTCTGCCTTCCCTTTCAACCATGCCCTACAGAAAGTATGGCCAAAGCTCCAGGGTAGAGCAGAGAAAGCTTAAATCATAGAATGTACCAAAAATAACCAGTTGTAATCTTTGGCTCAGTTCTCCAAGGCCACGGGAGTTGTGGTGGTCCTTTTCCCGTGCCTGGAGGGAAAGATAGCCTATCATTCCTGACCTAAGCCTGTCTTCCCTGACTTAATGACTCCTAACAGCCTTAGGCCCCACTGCATTGAAATAAGGGTTGTGTGGAGCTACTGAAGCCGCTTTGTGTACTTAACAATCCTGCAAAGCTACCACAGGCTAGGAAAACAAGACCTCGGGGCAGTTCCCAGCAGGATTTCAAGATCCCCACCATGCTGTGAAGCATCTCTTTCAAACAAGCAAGGAAGAAGAGCCTTTTCCAGATTCTTCAGACCCTCTCGTTACAGCTGTCTGAGACCAGGCTCATATATCCAGGGTAATTACAGGGCATCAATCACAGAGGCAAGTAATGGGAAGGTTGGGGATCAGACACGCCTGTCTCGCCTCAGCAAAGCTTTTGGTGCTCAGCTGTTCCCAGCAGGTTTCTTCATCCCTCGCCCATTCAGCACAGAAAGGAACCAGCAGGAAGCAGTCAGGAGGTTGACCACCCACTGAAAGGCTTAATGAAGAGCTGATGGACCTAGACAGGGGGAGGAGGTGGGAGCCACGTGGGAATCACCCCCAGGGGAAGAGCCAAGTCTGAACATTAAGACCTGTGTTTGCACCTACCCAGGACAGTCCAGACTCAATCAACAGGATGTAGCACAGGCAAACTCCTGCTCATATCTAAAGCCTGATGTATTTGCTTACTCCCCTGCTTGACACCAAACTCCTGTCCGTGGAAAAAACCCACTGAGTATAGGGAGAGCCTCTAAGGTGTTTTTTGACCTTTAATCAGCACTCCAGCAAAAGCAGGGTCCAGAGGAGAAGGGAATGCAACCTCACAACAACAGGGAGGAACTTCTCCATTTGTGCTGCTAAGGAGGTAGGATGTAAGTCCTTCAAAGAGGACCTTTCATTAGGTGTAATCTCCTCCTGGTCGTCCTCTGACTGTCATCCTCCTGGCCTGCAGCACTGCTTTCATCACGTGGGCAGAACTCTTGCTTTCCTGACTGCACAGGACCAGCTCTTTGTTGTGACAGGAGCTGTATCCTCCACGAGTCCTGAAATGAGCAGCAGCTGCAGGCAGGGCCCCTCCATATTCAGCAGAGTCCTTTGTCCTTGAGCTGGAATGCTGTAAGCTGGCGCCACCTTCCAAAGGCCTGAATGGAGAGTGGACAAATCAAACACTCAGGTTACCCTGGAGGGCTTGCAGCACTCTCACAGCACCGGTAAACACAGTTTTCCCTCCAGCAATGGCTCTGCCAGCTGCCTCACCATTCACTCAGAGCCCTTCCCTGCCTCTCCTGTAGCCAGTAAGTGACATGCAGAGAACAAATCAATGTGAGAGAAGAAAGACCAATGCCCTCTCTGCCCTCTAATTTCAGTACCTGCTCCCATCTCCTTAAAGGAGAACCTAATCCTGCATGGATCTCCGGGAGACAGGCAGAGGAGCAAACTGGATATTTGAGCTGTAAGGCTTTCCCTGCCCCTGGGTGCAAGTCAGCACAGATCTCCTGCTCCAGTGTTGAGCCTGTTTCTTCCCTGAGTGGACTCTTGAGAGGCAGAGGATTAGTGGATTAACATCACTAATAACAGTGGGGAATGGGGCACACGTCAAGGAAATTGACTGCTGACACAAAGCTTTGAAAAACACCCGAAAATGAACCCGTGTAAAGCTGGAAGCTATTTCCCTTTGTTATTGGCAAGTCCATTCCTTGATGTATTCAACTTTTGCCTAAGCAAGTGCTTTGTGCATGGAGAGGTACAGAGAACACCACTTGTCCCTTGAGGGTGCTTTGTGGTCCACTGAGGTGCACAGAACTGAAGCAGTCATAAATGCTTACCTGAGCCAGGAGGCTCCTGTCTTCCTCCTCCAAAAACCTCTGCACCACACAGCTTTGCAAATATCTCTGTCTCCACACCCTCCAGGCCTTTTCTACCACTCGCTGCTGGTCCTGCCAGAAAAAGAGGCAGATTAATCAGGCTCTGGCAGGCAAACTATCTCACTTCCCTCCCTCTAGTCCCACCTTGCTTCCAGTTGCTTTCCCAGGTCCCTCTTGGAATGACTTTGCATGGGTAAAAACCAGAGCTGACTACTACCAAAGCTGTTGCTGAGCTACTGTTCCCTGCAAACATTGTGGCTAATGAAGTCCCAGTACCCTGGGGAGAGGACAGTGCCCCATCAGTGCTCCAGCACAGCTCCCCAGGGACTGTGGATGTGCTCACTACACAGGCATCATCATATCCCCTGGGCAGGTCAGTGCACATCTCACACAGCTCATGCCCAGGAGGTCAGGCAGAACGTGGGCCTGAGCAGAGGGGGAAGCCAAATGACAGCCCTTGATAGGCTGTGACTCCAAAGGGATGTGTCAGCAAGACAGATGAGGACCAAGATTGTAATACTTGCTGTGAACTTTTTGCACAGGCTACAGACAATCTACACAGATCATCCTATCTCAGCTTCCTGTCTTAAGATGGGGCAAAGCACAACTAACTCTGTGGATATGCCAGTGTGCCATGCTGGCATTGTAAACAACGATGGGAAAAGCTAGCCACAAGCAACAAACCAGGATTTCTGAAGCACACTGGTACTTATTAAACCCTCAGGTCTCATCTCCCAGGCTGCAGGCAGAGCAGGCTTGCCCAGTAACACCATCACAGCCACTCTGGTGGCACCAGACACTCACCAACACCTGGGCCAGCATCACCACCCTGCTGGCCTCCTTCCACTGGTGCCATCCCTGTGCCAGGCAGAGCTGTCTCCTCCTGTGCTGGCACTGGCGAAGCACCACGGTGTGATGCCACGACCTCAGGTACTTCCTCCTGCAGGCAAGGGAGGCAAATAAGCTTTACCAGCCCTTCCCTGCTGGCAGCAGCAAGAGGAAGCCCAGAGCTCTCCACTCCACTTACCCGAGCCACTCATCCCACTCCTCCAAGTCCATCTCTGCTTTGTTCTGGATCCTTGCAGGTACAGGAGAGGGTCTTCCCACCTCAGGTCTCTCCACCAGGTGAGGGGAAAGCCTTTCAGCCCTGGTTTGGTTTCTGTAGATCACCAGCCAGTGCTTAATGGCACTGGGGAAAAGTCCAGCTAGTGCTGAACCTTCTCCTCTGCCTCTTCTGCTTCCTAGGAAAGGAAAGAGGAATCACATAGGAGCTAACCATGGAGCTAGAGAGAAGAGATCAGAGCTGCCATGAGCCCTTAGTCCTTTGGCTCCTAAACACAGAAACAACCCATGGTCAGAGTTCAGCTGCCACGAGCTCCCACTCCACGGGGGAATCTCAGTCATGTAGCTGGCAAACACTACTCCCCTTCCCTCCTCACTCACACTCCCCACATGGCTCTGTGAAAGGAAGAGAGGAAGGAGCATCTCCTTACTCATGGACCAAGCCAGAGACATCTTCCTGCTTTTCCTAGCACCTATCAAGGTGCTGTGCTGCCGTAGGCACTGGGAAAAGGCAGCTGCCCTGGTCCAGTAGTTGCAGGCCTGCAAGGGAAATAACACAGTTGCAGGCAAGAGTAAACACAATGCACACACAGGCAGCACTCACACAAACCAGCCCTGGAGATACATTTATGCTCACAGCCCTGCAGGTAGTTCAATGTGCCAGACCCCAGGCTGGAAGCTGCACAGATGAGATCCCAGCAGGACTGACTCAGCCCTTCCAAATCAATCGATCTCTTTGTGGTTTGCTAGCTGTGAGCCTTTGGAAAAAAGCTGCAACTCTGACAGCTCACTCTGCTCTGCAGGGACAGTGATTATCCCATCTCGTCTTTGAGCAGAGAGGAAGGAGTGCTCTCATCTCTCTGGTCAAAATGTCCCCACTCCTTATTGCTGTGCTCCAGATGGTTGCTGCAATCAGTGCCAGATTATGGTGATGAAGTTGCCTGCACAGCCTGTAAAGAATTTCAAAGCAGGGACCAAGTAGTCACCACAAATCAAACCAGGTTTTTAGACAAGCTCTGTCACTGTATCTCACTGCCTAGTGACTCACTGAGTCTTCAGGAGGGAACAGAGAGTTAAGAATAACTTTCAGAGAGCTCTTCATCTTACTTGTCTGACAGTAGCCACAGATGTCAGGCGCAGGACTTGCTTTCCTCTCGCAGCCACTCGCCAGAGGTGACAGGCTCTACCTGCAGAGGCTTCCTGCCACTCCTGGTTCCCCTGTCCC